GATCCCTGATAATGTGCTTGGGAGGACAGCCCAAGTATTTGGGCCCCTGCACCCATGTGGGAGGCCCAAAGGAAGCTCCTGGCTCCTGGTTTCAGATCTGCCCAGCTCCAGCCATTGTGGCCATTTGGGAAGTAAACCAGCAGATGGAAGATCTCTCTTTCTCTGCCTCTGCCTGTTTGTAACTCTGACTTTCAAATGAATAAATCTTAAAAAAAAAGAAATGGTGATAGAAAGGTGTAATGAAAGAAAACCACTCTGAATAGGAAGAAATCACTTTACAGCAATAAAAAAGACTTTAAAATGAGCAAAATGGGGCAGTCAGTTGCAACTAAGACACGGCTTAGGATGCCCACATCCCACACGAGAGTGCGTGGCTGCAAGCCTGGCTCCGCCCCAGTCCAGCTTCCCGACAGTGTGCCCTCTGGGAGGCAGCAGATGATGGTTTACGTAGCTGGGTCCCTTATCACCCAAATGAGAGAGTCAGATGGAGTTTCTGGCTCCTGGCTTTGGCCTGGCCCAGTCAAGGCTGTTGCAGTCATTTGGGGAGTGAACCAGTAGATGGGAGAGCTCTCATTATCTGTCTCTTTCTCTCTTTGTCTTTCTCTCTTTTTCCCAAAGCACTAGCAGCCAGATCTTAAATATTTTTGGCATTGCATACACGCTGTTGCAATGGCTCAGCAATGTGGTTGACAGTGAAAGCAGCAATGGACAATATGTAAGTAAGTATGTAAGTATGGCTAAATTCCAACAAAGCTTTATTTATGAACACTGACATTTACTTTTGTGCCATTTTTCATGAGTTATAAAATATTAATCTTCTTTTGACTTTCTAAAAAAATTTATCTTTAAAAAGAATCACAGAGGAGGAGAAATGGAGAGAGAGAGAGAGAGAGAGAGAGAGAGATCTTCCATCCGCTGGTTCACTCCCCAAATGGCCAGTCTGAAGCCAGGAGCCAGGAGCCTCCTCCAGGTCTCCCATGTGTGTACAGGGGCCCAAGCACCTGGGCCATCCTCACCTGCCCTCCAAGGCACACCAGCAGGAAGCTGGATTGGAAGTTCTCTCTGCCTTTCAAATACATACAATAAACTTAAAATTTTTTAAAAATCAACAAAGATGAGTAAGTATTTCTCCAAAGAAGATATTATCAACAACCAACACATATATGAAACCATGTTCAACATTACAGAAATATAAATCATACTCACACTGAGATACCATTTACTCCCAATGGAACAGCTACTGTAAGAATTACAGAAAACATGGGGGTAGGTATAGTGGTTAAGATACCTGTTAAGATGCCCACATCCCACAGGAGAGTGCTTAGGTTTGATTCCTGGCTCCAGCTCCAGATCAGGCTCCTGAATATAACTGTCTACAAATGCAGACCATAGGAGGCAGTAATGATGTAACTGGGTTCCTGCTACCCACGTGCAAGACCTGGGTTGATTTCCCAGTTCCCAGCTCAATATGGCCCACCATTGGCTGTTGTGGGCATTTGGGTAGTGAACCAATAGATGGGAGTTCTCTCCTCCATCTATCTATCTGTCTCTTTCTGCCCAATAAAAAAAAATTACAGCAAATAACAAGTGTTGGTGAAGATGTGGAGAAATTGGAATCCCGCTGTGTTCTTGGTGGGAATGTAAAATGGCACAGCCACTAAAGAAAACAGTATGGCAGTTCCTAAAAAACAGAGAAAATATGATCCAGTAATTCCATTTTGCGGTATATGTCCAAAAGAATGGAAAGCAGGGTCTAAAACAGGCACTGGAACACTGATGTTCACAGTAGCGTTATCCCAGCAGCTACAGCGTGGAAGCAACCCGTGTCCATCAAAGGATAGATGGACATACGCAGCACGGTGTACACATGCGGCAGAATATTGTTCAGCCTTGAGAAGGAAGGAACTTCTGGCAAATTCTGCAGCACAGATGTACCGTGAGGGCCTTACGTTAAGTTCAGTAAGCCAGTCACAAAGAGACAAACACCGCAATGTTCTGCGTATGGAAGTCACCTAGAGCAGTCACACTCACAGAAACAGAACGCTGAGTGGCGGCTGCCAGGGGTTGGGGGAAGAGGAAATGAGGGGCTGTTCAAGGTTCAGTTTTGCAAGATGAAGACTTTCTGGGACAAAAGGCTTCGCATTGTTTGTGTGACAATGTGCATGCACTGAGCACTACCCTACACTTACAACTGGGTACGTGGGCAAGTTGGGGTTGTGCGTATCTTATCACCATTAAAAACACAATCATTTTTGGAATTCACAAGGCTCCCAATTTTCATCAACGTGCCTCTCTTCCATTAAGTTTCCCAGTTGACAGGAGTCAACGGCGGGCCATCTTCATCTTGGGATAATGGCATTGTTTCCGCATTTCCCTCTCACTCCTTGTTCTTTGGGTGTTTAAGGCCATCTAACAGATTCCCCTCATCTCTGCCTGTCTCCAGCATAGAAGAGCCTCTCATAAGGTAGGGCTTTGCTATGAGACTGACTGAGACAGCGAGCGCCTCAGCAGGATGCCTGACACAGCAGACAAATGCAAGCAAGCACAGGCTCCTGCCTGCAAGTCTGCCGCAGGGCTGCCAGTTCCCTCAAGGTCATCCTGTGACTGTCCTCACCCAACACCTGTGACTTACAAAGAAAAGGTACTACCTGCAAAAGTCTTAAGATTACATACAATGTTGATGCTGAACAACTGAAATTTATATTATTTATTCTTAAAAAATGTATTTGAAAAGGGGGAGGCTGGGATAGAGAATACGCCTTAAAGTTAGGCAACAGCATTTATTCTATTTGGTAAAGACATTTAAAAAAGCCGTATTTGATCATTGGTAATCCCAAATGGAATGGTCTTGTATTACTGGTGTGTGTTTCTTGTGATGAGACAGTTTTCTGGAACATCCTTGCTCAGGCCATCGAGGTGAAGACTTGTTACTATACAAAGGTTAAGAAGAGAAGTGTGCTTTCACTGGCCCTGCAAATATCAGCAAGTTTGCCATTTGTCTAAGAAAAGCTTCAGACCATGTATGCAAATCTGGCAGACTAAGTTGTTTTTCCCCATGGTAGTATCAATAAAGACGACATTTTAATAAACAATAGGTTGGCCAAAAGTCTCCATTTTTTTTAGAAGACTATTTATTTACCTAAGGCAGAGGCAGGGAGAGAGAGAGGTCTTCCATCTGCTGGTTTACTCCCCAAATGGCTGCACTGGCTAGAGCTGGGCCAGGCAGAAGCCAGGAGCCAGGAGCTTCTTGCCAGTCCCCGCTGCGGGTGCAGAGACCCAAGCACTTGGGTCATCTTCCACTGCTTCCCCAGGCGCATTGGCAGGGAGCTGGATGGGACGAGGAGCAGCCAGGACTCCAACCAGCACTACAGGCTGCAGCTTTATCTGCTATGTCACAGAGCCGCCCTGAAAGTCTCCAGTTTTGTAGTCTATCTTCTCAAATAATAGGAAATGAATTTACAGTAAAAAAAAGTAGTCACCTTGAGTGAATAGTTTATTTTTCACACACTGAAGGTGAAGGGGCCATTCCTAGAACATCAACTCTCTTTTTTCTCTCTCTGGCTCTCCTTTTCTGTGTCTCTTTCAAGTAAATAAATCTTTAAAAAAAAAAGGGGGGGGGGGCGCCCTGCCTGCAGCGCCAGCATCCCAGGTGGGAGCCCTTCCCAGACCTGGTTGCTCCACTTCCCATCCAGCTCTCTGCTATGGCCCGGGAAGGCAGTGGAAGATGGCCCAAGTCCTTGGGCCCCTGCACCCACGTGGGAGACCCAGAAGAAGCTCCTGGCTCCTGGCTTCGGATCAGCTCAGCTCCCGCCTTTTCAACCATCTGGGGAGTGAACCAACAGATGGAAGACCTCTCTCTCTCTCTGCCTCTCCTTCTCTGTGTAACTCTGAATTTCAAATAAATAAATAAATCTTTAAAAAAAGGAATTTCCACCCAAACTATTAAATTACAGAAACCAAAAGGTGATCACTTACTTCCTTCAGTGGTCTTTCAAATTAAACATAAAAATTATGCAGAAAAAATTTAGATACACTGAAAATGGTCAACATTAATTTCTTCTCTCGCATGTTAGATGGGAAACTGATATCCCTCCTCAACCGCTTTTAGAAAAATTCAACCCCAAAAAGCAAAACTGCTGTGTGCGCTTTCATAGAGAGAAGACAGAGTACATTTTGCAAGATCACCAAAGACGATGAGCTTTGGAATCTGACGCATTGAAAAGTAACGAAGGTGTCCAGTTCCTGCGATTCCGTAAGCATTGCAATCTACTGGAAACTACATGGAACCGATGGGATATTTTGCACGGATTAATACAATGCTGCCACCACCGCAGCTGTCCCCAGGCGGTCAGACTCTTCACTGAATGTCTTTCCTGTCGCTTCTGGCCAGCAAGCTGTTTGCTATTTTAGGGCATACTCATTGAAAAATTCATATACGCTCGGTTAACGGAGAAAGGCAAATTCTCTGGACCTGCGAGTTGGAAAAAGGGAGGGGGAAAAATAGACACATTTTTGAGCTTTTAGCCTTGCTTTTGTTGACGTGATGCGCCCGCCGCAGGTGCGCGCCTGGGCAGACGAGGGGTGAGCGAGAGCCGTGGTCCCGTCTTCGTGCAATTCCAGGACTGGAATCCGTTTTTGGTCAACTCCGGCTCTAGGTCAGTTGGAAGCTTCTCGCGTGTTCGACGTTTGCACCCCTGCTTCCCTCTCACCGGGGTCCGGAAAGCAAAGGGCCGTGCCTCGGTCACCGCGGCGGGGCTGGGCGACGACGGCCTCGCGAGCCCCAAGGGCCAGCCCCTCGCCGGCTTCTCCACCCCCGCACCCCGCGCGCTCGCTCCTCAGGTGCCGCCGGCCCGGGCCGGGCAGCGCGACGCGGCGAGGAGGCGGCTCTGCCCGCAGCTGCCCTCTTCCAACATGGCGCCGCGGGAGGCGGGTCCCGCTCGGCGGCTCCCGGGGTTCCGGCGCCGCGCGTTTTGGTTCCGGAGTAAAAGTGCCCTCGCCGCCGCCTTCCTCCTCCCGCCGCCGCCGCCGCCGCCGCCGCCGCTGCCGCCGCCGGGACGTGCGGCCTCGGGCGGCGGGGGCTGAGTCCGCGCGCGCCGCGCCCTCTGACTCCAGGTGGGGCAGAGGACTCGCCCCCCGAGCGTCCCGCGGAGCCGCCACTCCCACCCCCGGCCCCGGCCGTCTTGGGGTCTGGCGGCCCCGGGGGGCTCCTGCCTTGTAGGGCCAGCCCGAGTCCGCGGCAGCCGCGGACCCTCCCCTCGCCGGCCGCGGGCACCTGCCGCTGCATCTGCCCCACGTCGCGTCCTTGTTCTGCCGCACGAAGGCAGAGCGCGCCCGGGTCCCGGTTTGCCCCGTTTGCCAACTCCAGAACCGTCCGACGCCCGGCGGCTCCTCAGTGGCGCCCTCGCCGGGAGACCCCTCAAGCCCCACACCGGCCGGGCCTGCCTAGGGGCCCGCGGGCCTGGCCTCCTCGCCCCTCCCGCTGCGTCCCCGGCCCCCCTCACCTCGCCAGCCGCCTCCGGGACCCTCCCCTCAGCCCCAGTCTGACCAGGGCCCCGTGGGAACCCGCTCCCCCGGGATGTGAGCCCCGTGAACCTGGAATGCTGTGGCTGGCCCTTGGCCCTGTCCATGCCATGGAGAGCCAGGTGCTGGTGATTCGCATCAAGATCCCCAACAGTGGCGCGGTGGACTGGACAGTGCACTCGGGGCCGCAGCTGCTCTTCAGGGACGTGCTGGTGAGTGGGGTGCATGGTGCGGATCCCAGCGAGGGAGCCCAGGGACTGGGGGAGTCCGCCCCCTGGCCCGCTGGTGGCCTCGCGGGGCGGCAGTCGTGGCATTGCCTTGCTGCGTGGACTGCAGCCTGGTGGCCACGTGTGACCTCAAGGAAATGGATGAATGAGGCTGGACCCCTGCCCTCAGGTAGCTCCCAGCCTATCCTGGGTGGGATGGAGAAGTTCCTCCCCGGTCTGTGGCCCGAGGCCAGCTGTGTGTTTATGCTGAGCCCTGGGAACTCCAGCACCTCCAGCCTAGCCTGTTAGAACGCACCTAGGACACCATCATCTGTAACGCATCGTAAGACAGTCTCCAAGTGACCAATGAGGAAAACAGTGCTGCCTAGTAAATTGTGACATGCCATCCATGGAGGGGAAGGGGGGGGGGGACACAGCCCAGTTCCGGAGATGTTAAACTAGAGGGAACAGGTGGGTCCTACACCGTCAGGATGCTCAGGGGCGGGGCACCAGGAGCATGGGATCTGTAACCTTGTCAGTGGCCTGGTCGGATCCTTTTTGCACATAGTTGCTGAGATGAAAAGATTCCGCCCCTCACCCAAAGCAGAGTGGGTCTTGAGTGAGACTCAGTACCAGGACCCCCATTTCCTTACTTGTACACAGCCCCAGGGCTGCTTCACAAAACTCGTGGAAAAGTGGAACGCAAAGATAAGTTTCTTTGGGCACAAAAAAGTTTTAGAAATCCTTGTTTGTTTTTTGAGATTTATTTATATATTTGACAGGCAGAGTTACAGAGAGGTAGAGAGAGAGAGAGAGGTCTTCCATCTGCTGGTTCACTCCCGAGATGGTCACAATGGCCAGAGCTGCACCAATTAGAAGCCAGGAGCCAGGAGGTTCCTCTGGGTCTCCCGTGTGGGTGCAGGGGCCCAAGGACTTGGGCCATCCTCTACTGCTTTCCCAGGCCATAGCAGAGAGCTGGATCAGAAGTGGAGCAGCTGGGACTAGAACCGGCACCCATATGGGATGCCGGCACTGCAGGCGGCGGCTTTACCCGCTGCGCCACAGCACCAGCCCTCGTGCAGTTTTTCCCAATTCACATTTGCTGTGGATTCTTGACGACTCCCCTATACCCTCCATTTTTTTCTTTATCACACTGCCACTGCTCATTTTTCTAGTGTTCATTTGAGAGTGACAGGGTGCCCTGTGCCCGTTTTATGTACGGAATACACTGCCATACCAAGAGGCAGGTGGATTCACAGGAAGGAACCGATTGATGGGGCTGACGTCGCAGGTGGTGAGAATTCACCAGAGCAGAGGATCACAGAGAGTGCTGAGCAGGGGGAGATTCATTAAACATAAGACACCGGGTGGGGGCAGCGGGCAGATAGGCTGCTCGGAGCTGGCTGCTGCTGCCTTGTGGGTGATAGCCTGGGAGATGCAGGCCTGTGGCAGACTGCCCCTGGCCAGGGGCTTTCCCATCACCGTGATTTCCTTATTGCCGGGGATTTTCACCAGGGGATTTCTTATTGCCAGGGGCCCTGATCCTGACTCAGGAAGCAGATCTAGAGCAGAACCTGCCTGCAAGATGAGAGGGGCCCTGGGAGGCAGAGTCTCGGGAGAGGGAAATTTGTTGATGTGATTTGGTGATGCAATCAAAGTTTGATTTGAAAATTTTAAGAAGTTCAGTTCTGGGTGCGTGACTGACCACCAGGCCCTGCAGGTTTTTATGTCCCAGCGCCAGGAGTGTAGACGCTGAAGCTGGCCAGCCAGCAGCCTCAGCATGCACTGAGCGCTGTCCTTCTCTGCACCCAGAGTTCTCTGCACACTGTCGTGCACACAGATGTCCCCTCACAGTCAGGCCCAGGCTCCCGAGCATGGGAATCTGGGCCCATGTGCGAGCTCTTGCCAGCCTAACACCAGCTTCATCTCCCACCGCAGTCCCAGGAGCTTCTTGGGAATCAGCCTTCCGTCCTCTGAGGCCCCAGGCTGTCTGCACGCTGTCCCTTTCCTCAGCTAGCCAGAGTCCACCTGCCCTTCCAAGCCCAACTTTGCAGAGTTCCCTCAGCTTCCAGTGCTCACCTCTGCAGAGCACCTGTTTGATCCTGATTATCTTTATGTCTCATCCACTGGTGAACTGCTGGAAGAATTGGACCGCTCTCTCTCTCTCTCTCTCTTTTTTTTTTTTTTTTTTAAGATTTATTTGTTTATTTGAAAGGCAGAAAGAGAAAGAGAGAAAGATCTTCCATCTGCTGTTTCACTTCTCAAATGGCTGCAACAGCCAAGTAGGACCAGGCCGAAGCCAGGAGCCTGGAGCTCCATCTTGGTTTCCCACACAGAGGCCCACATCTTCTGCTGCCTTCCTGGGTGCAGTGTAGCCTCTGTGCCTAACTGGCACTCTGCTGTGGGATGCGGGTGTCACAGGGCACCGTGTTGCCATCTGTTTCTCCTCTTTGTGTCACTTCATAGGACAGTGAACTGTTTGATGTGACATCTTTGAGAGAATGCATGCAATTATGGATTGATGGACAGAGTATTAGTTTTTTTTTTTAAAGATTTAGTTATTTATTTTATTTGAAAGTCAGAGTTACACAGAGAGAGAAGAGGCAGAGAGAGAGAAAAGAGAGGTCTTCCATCCGATGGTTCACTCCCCAACTGGCCACAACAGCCAGAGCTGCGCCGATCCAAAGCCAGGAGGCAGGGACTTCCTCCGGGTCTCCCACTCGGGCGCAGGGGCCCAAGGAGTTGGGCCATCTTCTACTGCTTTCCCAGGCCACAGCAGAGAGCTGGATCGGAAGCGGAGCAGCTGGGTCTTGAACTGGCCACCATATGGGATGCTGGTGCTTCAGGTCAGGGTGTTAAGATGCTGCGCCACAGCACTGGCAGTTTTTTTTTTTTTTTTTTAATTAAGAAACATTTTTTATTTGAGAGACAGAGAGCTTTTATCTACTGGTGTCCTCCCTTAATGCCAACATCAGCTGGGGCTAGACCCGGCTGAGACTGGGTGTGGGAAACACAGTGTGGGTCTCCCAGAGGGGTGGCAGGGACCTGTCTGGTGAGCTATGGCTGCTGCCTTCCACAGTCTGCATTAGCAGGAAGCTGGGGTCAGGAGCCAGAGGTTGACATTGAACCCTGGCACTCAGAGATGGGGTGCAGGCGTCTCACCCAGCAGCTTCACTGCCCAGCCAGAGGCCTGCTTGAACGTTAGGCTTTGAGTCAGGAGCTTGGGCTTCATTGCAAGCTATCCCACTGAGCAGGCAAACCAGCCCACCTCCTGAGCCTGCTTCCTTATTTGTAACGGGGATGCTGACACCTGTCTCAAAGATGGGTGAAGCTTGACATCGTGTCTTCGGTGAGCTTCCTCTCACTTTCCTCGTTGGAAACAACAGAAGATATTTTAGGCAGGGCAGGGCAGTGTTTCCGACTGCACACTCTGGAGCCCAGCCGGCTGGGTTTACGTGGCAAGGCCTTGTGCGTCTTCATCTGTGAAGAAGCGGGGAGGGCGGGGGATGCAAGCACTGCCCACCACGTAGAGTTCTGAGGACCACTCGAGCCCACGGCGGGAAAGCACTCGGGCTGCTCCAGCGTGGAGTAAGCTGTCACGGCCCGAGGGATCCGGCCTGGGTCTCCTGCCTCAGGGGAGCTCCCAGCTGCACGTGGCCCCTCCAGAGTGCCATGCTCAGGTCAGCCCAGGCAGAACGCATGTGGTCAGGAGGGCGTGAGGGAGGATTTGTGGCGGTGGGGGCTGTGCTACAGCCTGGTGTCTCCTGATGGCGATCGCAGGCCTTGCAGGGCGGCAAGCCTGGGTCTGTGGATTCCTGTGAGCTGGTCTCCAGCTTCACCTCCCTCTTCATCAAGAAAAACAAAACCAACCGAAAAACTCCAACAGATATGTTAATATATTTGGCTTACAACCTTAAACTTGAAAGCCCGTGAAACCTAGAAGTACCCCTCTCAGCTAATGGCCTGTCTTCTGACTCCCCCATCGCAGTTTCCAGATGAGAGGGGCACCATGCTTTGCCAAAGCCACGCAGGTTAGTGCCTGACAGACTGGCCCAGCAGCCAAAGCAGGTTGTGGTGCAGGAGTGAAGGGTGACTGTGTCCTGGACCCCCGTGCCAGTGCTTGCGACCTCCTGTCACCGCTCCGTCAGGTGGCTGGGAGACCCTGGCAAGTTGCTTGGCTTCTCCGAGCCTTGTCTTTGATCTGAAAGAGCTGCCATCTGGCTGTGGTGAGCCAGGCATTGGATTATGTGTTGCGTCTGTGCGTCAGTTGTCTGTGTGCGTCCTTTTTTCCTGAAAACCAAGCGCCCAGTTCTGGGAAGACTGTGCAGGAGGGAGGATTCGTGCGTGGTGGGGCAGAACAGCACCCAGCCCCCTCCTGCCTGCTGTGTGTAATGCTCGGTCTGCGAGTCCCATCTCACATTTCCCTCCCCGGGACGTTTCTGTCTGAATGGAGCCAGTGGTTTTGTTGCCTTTTTTTTGTTTTGTTTTGTTTTGTTTTCCTTTCCTCCTGACTTAGCACAAACTGTTTGCTTTCTGTGTCTTTTGTTTGTCTCTCTCTCTCTCTTTTAAAGATTTATTTATTTTACTTGAAAGTCACAATTACACAGAGAGAGAAGGAGAGGCAGAGAGAGATAGGGAGAAAGAGAGAGAGGTCTTCCATCCGCTGGTTCACTCCCCAGTTGGCTGAAGCAGCTGGAGCTGGGCCAATCCAAAGCCAGGAGCCAGGAGCTTCTTCAAGGTCTCCCATGTGGGTGCAGGGGCACAAGGACTTGGGCCATCTTCTGCTTTCCCAGGCCATAGCAGAGAGCTGGATCGGAAGAGGAGTAGCTGGGACTCGAACCGGCGTCCATATGGGATGCTGGCATTGCAGGCAGCGGCTTAACTGCTGTGCCACAGTGCCAGCCCCTTTCGTTTGTCTTTTATCATGCTGTAAGTGCCTGGTGTTGTTAGTCTCCACCTCTGGAGCCAGATTCTGAACTTCCTAAAGTCAAGGCCCAAGTTTTACTCTTCTGCAGCCTCCACTTTATCATCTTCATGCTCCTGGCATGTTGTAGAAGCTGCATTATATTTCTGTTCTGCCTGATATTTGCCTGATTTATTGAAAGGAAGAAGAAAAGGATCAAGAAACGGTCGCCATCAAGATGTGTAAACAGGTTTTCTTTTAGAGCCTCTAGGTTATGTAGAATGTTGTGTTTTTGACAATAGGAGAAAAAGTATCTTGAAAATATGTAAGTCAGTTAAAATGCACAACATATACACAAAATCGTTAAAGTGCACCCTGCTTAAAAATGACCAGGATGGGGCTGGCACTGTGGCATAGCAGGTAAAACTGCCACCTGCAGTGCCGGCATCCCATATGGGTGCTGGTTCAAGTCCTGGCACTTGTGATCTAGCTCCCTGCTAATGCACTTAGGAAAGCAGTGGAGGTTGGCCTTGGGCCCCTGCGCCCACATGGGAGACCCGGAAGAAGCTCCAAACAGCAAATGTCCCATACCCAGCAGGAAACCCCACAGGGCATGCTCTGCCCATCAGAACAAACAAAGTGCCCCACACACCGCATCTGATCTCGGGGAAGAGGAGAACAAAGCAGACTTGTTAGAGAGAACCATCTGGACACAGCAGGCTACCCTGATTTTTTAAAGCAAAGAAAGTGGGGCTATGACTCTGACAAAAGGGTAAAAACTTTGAAAATTAAGCAGCTGGGCAGGCATGTGGCATAGTGGGTTAAGCCCCCATCTGCAACACTGATTCAAGTTCCGGCTGCTCCACTTCTGATCCAGCTCTCTGCTAATCTGCCTGGGAAAGCAGCAGATGGTGGCCTGAGTGCTTGGGCTCCTGCCACTCACCTTGGAGGACAGAATGAAGCTCCTGGCTCCTGGCTTTGGCCTAGCACCGCACATTTGCCAAACATTTGGCTATTTGGCGTTCAAAAGCAGAAGGGTCCCAGTCGTTAGTTTGCTAATGCTGTGTATGTGGGGTTCACCTGTGCTGTGAGTGAACGACCCTCCTCCACTGAGTGTTGGGTGCTGGAATCAAGAGGCCACAGAGTAAGCCTTGTAGTGTTCCAGTGATTGGTGATGTGTTTTATGTGTTTAACAGATAGTAAGGTAGCACTGGCCATGGGTTGGACACTCTTCTAAGCACTTTGTAAATACTAGCTCATTTAGTCCTACAAGGGAGGTACCATTGTGATCCCATTTTACACATAAGGAAACTGAGGCACTCAGCCAGTGAGAGGCACAGCTGGCGTGCAGCCTGGCCACATCACTGAATTTGGCTCCAGAGTCTCACGTGCACCCTGGACTCCCTGTGTATCAGATTCTGTCCTCACTACAGTTCACTGTCAAAAAAGACTCTCTACCTCTGAGTGTGGAGAGAGAATTTTTTTTTTAAAGATTTATTTATTTATTTGAAAGTCAGAGTTAGAGAGAGAGAGAGGTCTTCCATCTGCTGGTTCACTCCCCAACTGGCCGCAGTGACCGGAGCTGTGCTGATCTGAAGCCAGGAGCCAGGAGCTTCTTCCGGGTCTCCCACACGGGTGCAGGGGCCCAAGGACTATGGGCCATCTTCTACTGCTTTCCCAGGTCATAGCAGAGAGCTGGATGGGAAGTGGAGCAGCTAGGATTTGGACTGGCGCCCATATGGGATGCTGGCATTGTAGGTGGTGGCCCAATACACCACAGTTCTGGCCCTGAAAGAATTTTTTTTAAATGCTTACTTGTTAGTATCTTTTTTTTAAAAGATTTTTTTTTTATTTTACTTGTACGTCACAGTTACACACACACACACACACACACACACACACACAGGGAGAGAGAGGTCTTCCATCTGCTGGTTCACTCCCCAGATGGCCACAATGGCCAGAGCTGCGCATATCTGAAGCCAGGAGCCAGGGGCTTCTTCCAGGTCTCCCACATGGGTGTCCTTGGGCCATCTTCCACTGCTTTCCCAGACCATAGCAGACTGGATCGGAAGTGGAGCAGCCAGGTCTGGAACTGCCGCCCATATGGGACACCAGCACTGCAGACGGCGGCTTTAGCCCACTATTCCAACAGTGCTGGTCCCGAGCGAATTTTGGGTAACTGAAGTCTTTTTGCAGATACTTTGTCAGAAAGTTGGTTTCTTTTGCTCAGACTGTTTTCATGAGGGAGGGCTGCCTAAGGTAGTTCTCTTTCTTTGATCAATTTTATCTGCACAGATTTATTTCGGGGGAGAAAAAAGCACAGTAGAGGCAAGACTATTATGCAGATTGGCACTGCAGCAGAGGAAGCTTCTAGAGAATTGCCTTTAGAAGGAAGTTACAGCCCACACTCTGCTAAGTACCCCGCTTGGAAGGGCTGTGGGCTCCCTGCTGAGAAGTACTGCGCGCGGCTTTGTCAGCCAGCTGCCTGCTGCCAGTTCTGGCACAGCCCGGGAGAGCTCCTGGAGAGAAATGAGGTTTGCAGGCCATTTGGGTTGGACTGGGCATAATGGGGTGTGTGTGTGTGTGTGTGTGTGTGTGTGTGTTGGGGGCGGTATTGCTTTCCCCAGCTTTGGGTGTTCTGGGCCTCGTCAGTGAAGCTGTTGAGACAGACTACTTTTCTACTTCATAGATTTGCTTAAACATTGATATCAGATTGTACATACTTTAGAATTTTGTAGGGCAGTTTATTTCAGTGTCATTTAAATGTTCGCCGTTGCTTAAGAGTGAAGGTTGCTAAGAATTGATTGCAGGAAGTGTGGCATCAAATGTTCACGTCGCCATCATGGAAACGCGGGTTCAGCTGCTACCACCGTGAGCGTGAGGCCTGGTGTTGCGGTCATGCATCGTGCACCTCCCCTGTCCAGTGCCTGCAGTGTGCGGAGTGCAAGGCTGAGATAGAGCCCGAGCCCAGACTCCCAGACTCCTTTCCCTTGCCCCTGCAGTGTGTTCCGCAGCCTCCCGTGGGAGAAACCAGGCTTTCCTGGTAAATATACAGCAGTGTACTTACAGGTGCTGTTAAATTGAGAGTGAGAGCTTGTGTTATTAATACTCTGTATGAGTATTACCAACACAGGGTAGTAAAGGTTCCCTAGAGGTTTTTCTTCCTGGGCTAGAGATTTAAACTCTGGGGTTTGCATTGTTGGGCTCCCTGTGATTACGAGCTTATGTTTTTACAGTTGATGCCAACTTTTCAAAAATCTTTCCCAGGTACTCATATTTCCTCTAGGATTTGCCACATGTTAGCAGAAAAGAAGGTGGCTAATTGTGTGTCTTTATTCTTTCTTTGTTTAGGATGTGATAGGCCAGGTTCTGCCGGAAGCAACAACTACAGCGTTTGAATGTAAGTCTGGCTTGTGCACGTTCTTGACTGGTTGCCTCTGCAGTCATTTTTCAAGGGGTTTATGGGTCGTGTTACTTTAGAAACTGACAGAACCAGATTATTTATGATCATCATATGGTCCATTTAAATATTTATAAATTAATGCAAGTTTAATGATGATACTGAACTGAGTAATATTTTCTTATTTAATCATATCTTGGGTGAGCATATTTCTACAATATAGCTTTAATTACCAACATGACCTTTATCTGCTCTTGCTCATCGTTATAATAATATTGCAGGACAAAATGAAACGTGTAAACTACCTGTAGGCCAATGATTATTGATTAAGAGATTTTAATCCTTGTTTCTCGAAAGCATGACAACAGAGCAGAGCTTTTGTGTGAGCATTGCATGGGATAATTCTGTCTTAGTGGGGCTTGGTAGGACTACTAGCCAATGACAGGCACATTTTAGGTCTTGAGTCCTTCCCCTGTCTCCCCCATTGGCTCAGAGACAGGACTGGAATGTTCTAGAAGACTGGTTTTTAACGTAAACAGGCCATAGCGAGGGAAGTCATGGTCTGAGCAATGTTAAGATGTGAATTTCATTAGTGGCATAGAGGTTCGAATTCTAAGAAGGATAAAATAAGGGCTTGGAACTGGGTTTCCATCCTTTATTGAAGATGAGGGCCACTTTTCAGTGTACAAAAATGTGCAGTTTTTCCCACCTGATAGTTAACTTTTTTTTTTTTTAAATTTATTTGAAAGAGTTACAGAGAAAGGTAGAGACACACAGAGATCTTCCATCTGCTGGTCCACTCTTCAAATGGCCACAATGGCCTGGGCTGGGCCAGGCCGAAGCCAGGAGCCAGGAGCTTCGTCCGGGTCTCCCATCTGGGTGCAGGGGTCCAAGGACCTGGGCTGTCCTCCGCTGCTTTCCCAGGCACATTAGCAGGGAAGTGGAATAGCCAGGATTCGAACTGGCTCCCGCACGGGATGCCAGCACTGCAGGCTAGAGCTTTAACCTGCTGTGTCACCGTGCCGGTCCTGGTAGTAATCTTTTTGTTCCTGGTTTTTAAGAAGATGATGCCTGAGAGGGGACAATGGGGACATCCTCTTCGGAGGACCATTGGCAGCACTCACCAGTGTGTAAAACATGCATGGCCTTTGACTCAGCAGACCCACCAGAAATGGCTGCACAGGGGTGGAACACCCTCCACGCGACGTGCTGTTTGTGGGGTTACTTTTTTTTTTTTTTTGACTGGCAGAGTGGACAGTGAGAGAGAGAGACAGAGAGAAAGGTCTTCCTTTGCCGTTGGTTCACCCCCCAAAATGGCCTCTGTGGCTGGCGCGCTGCGGCCGGTGCACCACACTGATCCGAAGCCAGGAGCCAGGTGCTTCTCCTGGTCTCCCATGCGGGTGCAGGGCCCAAGCACTTGGGCCATCCTCCACTGCACTCCCGGGCCACAGCAGAGAGCTGACCTGGAAGAGGAGCAACCGGGACAGAACCGGGCACCCCAACCAGGACTAGAAGGACTAGAACCTGGGGTGCCGGTGCCGCAGGTGGAGGATTAGCCTAGTGAGCCATGGCGCTGGCCTGTGGGATTACTTTTAATAGCAACAGGTTAGAGGTAAACTCCATGTGCAGCGTAGTGGATTAATAAATCCATGACTTGGTCATAATCCGGAGCAGTAGATAGCAGCTGAAGAGAATGAGTCAACGATGTTATGCATCGATATGGAGAGGTGTTGACAAGATGTTGTTGACCTAATATTTGTGGTGTGATACCATTTATAAATAAATCTGACCCTGGGCTGTACTGAGAGGCATGTATGTGTGTGGAGGCAGATCTTAAGAGTACCCTCATTGTGCCTCCGGCTGTCTCGCTAGAAGGTGGACTTGGGGGCTGGGGGTATTGGTCGGTGATAAGTGAATGAGCACACATTTTATTCTACATGTGGGTGGAGTTCCTCTTATCTGAAACACTTGGACCAGACGCTGTTGCAGGATTTGGAGGATTTTAGATTTTGGAGGATTTTAGATTTTGGAGGATTTGCGTAGACTTTACCTGTTGATCGTCCCTGATCCAAAATTCTGAAATCTGAAATGCTTCAAAACTGAAACTTCTTGAGCACTGACACTCAGGAGGTTTTAGATTTGGGGGCATTTCAGATCTTAGATGAGGGAGGCCCAACCTGCAAATTTTCCTGTTGTTTATTTTCAACAAACATTACTTGTTTTTAAAAGCTACTATGAGTAAGACTCATAATATAATTAGTTTTTTACTAATCAGACAGGACTCTATTGAAAACTAGCACATTTATCTGAAATACACATTAGTTTTGCAGGTTGTATTCAGGTGCCTTTCACAGTAACTCCTTGGGGATGGCGGGTCTTTTGCAGATAGTCTGATAGCTGACATTCGGAGTGCTGCCTGTTGCCACATGCTGTGCTAGGACCATTGCCTGGGTTATGCCATTTTTTTTAAGATTTATTTTATTTATTTGAAATACAGAGTTGGGGCTGGCTCTGTAGCTTAGCGGGTAAAGCCGATGCCTGCAGTGCCAGTATCCCATATGGGCGCCAGTTCAATACCTGGCTGCTCCACTTCTGATCCAGCTCTCTGCTATGGCCTAGGATAGCAGTGGAGGATGGCCCAAGTCCTTGGGCCCCTGCACCCACGTGGGAGACCCGGAGGAAGCTCCTGCATCCTGCCTTCAGATCAGTGGAGTTCTGGCTGTTGCAGCCGCTTGGGGAATGAACCAGCGGATAGAAGACCTCTCTCTCTCTCTCTCTCTCTCTCTCTGTCTCTCTCTCTGTCTGCATCTCCTTCTTTCTGTGTGTAACTCTTTCAAGTAAAATAAATCTATAAAAAAAAAAGAAGAGTTACAGAGAGAGGTACATTCATAGAGAGAGAGAGAGAGAGAGAGAGAGAGAGATGTCTTCCATCTACTGTTTCACTCCCCAAATGGCTGCAACAGCCAGAGCTGAGCTGATCTGAACTTAGGAGCCAGGATCTTCTTCCGAATCCAGCTCCCTGCTGGATGGGAAGTGGAGCAGCTGGGACTCGAACTGGTACACATATGGGATGCTGGCACTGCAGACTGGGGCTTTAACCCACTGCGCCACAGCGCCAGCCCCACTGTTGATTTTTTTAAAAAAAGATTTATTTATTTGGAAAACAGAGTGACAGAGAGAGGAGGAGAGACACAGAAAGAGAGAAATCTTCCATCTGCTGGTTTACTCCTCAGATGGCTGCAACGGAGCCAGGAATTTCATCTGGGTCTCCCATGCGGGTGGCAGGGACCCAAACACTTGGGCCATCTTCTGCTGCTTTCTCAGGTGCATTATCAGGGAGCTGGATCAGAAGTGGAGCGTAGAGCAGCTGGGACATGAATTGGCACCCATATAGGATGCCAGCCTTGCGAGTGGTGGCTTTACCCGCTATGCCACAATGCTGGCCCCATGCTATTGGTTTTAACCTTCACAGCATGCCCACAAAGTACTTTGAAGGACTGTGATTAGCTCCATTTTAGTTGAAGAATGGACATCTCCTTTAAGTAACTTGCTCAATATCTCACAGCTAAGAAGTGGTGAAGTGGAATTTCTGGCATTTGTCCTACAGCATTCATTAGCAAACACTGTGCTGGACTTGTTCTGAGGTTGTCATAATTCTTTTTTTGTTGTTTTTTAATATTAAGATTTATTTATTCAAAAGTCAGAGTTACACAGAGGTGAGGCAGAAAGAGAGAGAGAGGTCTTCCATCCATTGGTTCACTCCCCAGTTGGCCGCAATGGTTGGAGCTGTGCCGATCCGAAGCCAGGAGCCAGGAACTTCTGGGTCTCCCACGCGGGTGTAGAGGCCCCCTTGGGCCATCTTCTTTGCTTTCCCAGGCCACAGCAGAGAGCTGGATCGGAAGTGGAGCAGCCGGGTCTTGAACCGGCACCCAGGTGGGATGCCGGCGCTTCAGGCCAGGGTATTAACCCACTGCGCCACAGCGCCGGCCCTTGTCATAATTCTTGAAATCATGTGTTCTGCTTGTTAAGTGCAGCAGTAATAAGCTTACTTGGTACTTGCTACTTTTTTTTTTTTTTTTTTTTTTTTTTAAGATTTATTTGTTTGAAAGGCAGAGTTACAGAGATGCGGGGGGGTGGGGGGGGATCTTCCATCCACTTGTTCACTCCCTAATTGGCTGCAACAGCTGGAGCTGATCTGAAGCCAGGAGCCTGGAGCTTCTTCCGGGTCTCCAATGCGGGTGCAGGGGCCCGGGCCATCCTCTGCTGCTTTCCCAGACCATAGCAGAGAACTGGATCAGAAGTGGAGCAGCCGGGACTTGAACTGGCGCCCATATGGGATGCTGGCACTGCAGACTGGGGTTGTAACGCGCTGTGCCACAGTGCTGGCACCACTTGCAACTTCTTGCTTTCCAGGTCCCAAAGTGGCTCGATGTACGTGTGCCTGCCCACTAGCTTCCTGAGTTAGGGTTCATAATGATTAGTACTGATTATTTAACTATCACTTATTGCTGGTTTCATGTGGACCAGGCAATGTACAGTGAACTCACCTAGGTTGTCATTAGTCTTTACGGTGACTCTGAGAGGGAGGGAGGAAGCCGCCACTCAGAGCCACGGTAGGATTGCCAAAGATGTTTGCTCAGAAATACTGGCTCCAGATTCAAGCACACTGACTAAAACCTGCACTCTTTGTAACCAAGTGTGTCAAAAGCTTGTGAAGTTTAAGGCAGAAAAAGGGTGTTTAAATCCAAGCCCTTTGACATGCTCTTCCTCTTTCTGGACCCTTCTGCATCTGGAACTGTTTAGGTGAAGATCTATAGACACACACACACACACACACACACACACACACAGAATGTTGACAGTCTGTGGTACTTGGATCACCACGTATCTCCTGTTACAGTTGAAACCCTACCCTGACTTTTTTCATGATTGTTCTAGGAAGGCTTTATTTTCTGAACTGAAAATCCAAATGAGTAAATGGAATCTATGTACAAAAAACA